AAAGGGATTGCATATTTTTTATTTTGTTCGTCTCTGTAAGGAAAGAGCAAATTCCAAATGTACTATTTTCAGTATGATTCGCCTTCTGCGATTGGTTTGCTCTGTGTGAGTGTTTCGGGTTGAGCCCAAACGTACTACTGTACTACCTATTACACTGACTAAACGTTCTCACAGACCCCCGCGCTGGCACTCACGCCATAGTTTCATCCACTTGTGCTCACACTGAGAAAGAGTTGTGATTAAATTATTAATTGCATGAAGATTTCTCTGCGTCTTTGTGACACGTGTTTGCAACGATGTGGCGGTTGTAAGTCACAGCCCTCCCGTGGATCTCGAAAGAACGTGGTACCGGTCTATATTTATAAGTGTCACAAGGTTTCACTGCACATCATGTAGGCCAACATGTACATACTGTAAAACAAATCATAAGAGGACTCTACTTATCTACCATAAATTAAAGAGACTGGCATTTATCGAATGAGTGTTGAATACGTATATACAGTATACACTGTATATTTAAGAATAAATATATTTAAATAAATTATAAGATTGGTACAACAATGAATGGTGTTTGTTGTCTTGTGCAGCTTTTTCTTCTACATCCCGTCTCAAAATGAGGAATTCGGAGTGACCACATGAATGGAGATGGCAGATTTATTGAAGTTCCAACTGCTTTCATAAATGCACCGTAAAAAAAAAAAAAGGTCGAGAGAGAGTGTGTGTGCTTTCGTCAAAATTGAGGCGGTTGCGAAACCATTTTTTATATGAAAACTCAGAAGAATGTCAGTCAGCATATTTCAGGCGTATAAATCTTGGGAAAGAAGTTTGTTTTAAAAGGATCCGCTCACACCGTTGACAGAACAGTAGATTCACCATGAACTGGAAAACAGAACGATTTGGGTCAAATGAGTTGTTTGAGTTGTGACACTTTTAATATATCTCCCATTTCAGGAGGATCCTTTTATCTTCAAGTGATAGAGACAGCAGAGATGACAGGAAGGAGAGAGAGAAGGGATGAGATGTAACAAAGGTCTTAAGTTGGATTCAGTGTGTCTCTCCCTAGATCTGGGAAGAAAGTCTAAATGTTGAGTAAAGTTGAACTAAATTAGAGCAAGATTTTCCTTTTACACTTTGAAAATTAAGTTTACACCGACCTTGTTTGGTCCGGCAACTTTTATAGGTCTAGTCTTAACCACAACAGGTGTAAAAAGTGCCTCAACATACTTAACATATACTTAAATAAAAGTAAGTGAACCGCTTGATTCATTTTCTCTACACAAACGTAATTCTTTTCACAGAGTTGGATGCCACTGTTTTTACTGTTCACTTAATTAAACAGTATATCTGAAAGAAATACAGGTAGTTGTTGCCTGGTATAAGGGAACTACTTAGTCTCGCCACCACAATGTGTCCAAAAGACTCGGAGTAAACATATATCTCAGGGTTTTTAAAAAAAAAGTAAATTGTGTTATGCTTTGTCTTACACATCCTTTGCTGTTATGGCCGTAATACTAGCACATACGCAGACAAGAAAACCCTCCTAAAACTAAATTCTTCAGCAAACCCTCCAGTCATCATTTGGTTCATCTCCCCTTTAATTTCACCCTTCTTTAATGTTTTACAGCCCTATGGTGGAACTACAACTCTACTGTGAAAGGAATCACAAAGAATGGCAATTTGTGTTGCCGGTGATGAGTCCTCCTACCTGTAATTACCACCATTTAGATAGTAAGTGGTGCCTAGGGCACAGCAGAACAACTTTTGTGTCTCAAGGGGAAGAACAATGCTGATGACTTCTATTTTATTAAAATATCTCAGGAGATGTAAAGCAAACAAAACTGAAAAACGGTGCCTTGAAATTCAACTAACGATCGAGCATCCAACAAACTATCCAGGATCTGCAGGAAATAATCAGGTGACAAAATGGACATTTTCCAACAGATAAAGATAAACTTATTTTATTTATGTTATAGACAAGTCTACAAACCCGTCAACCCTTATTGTTACATACACAATGTGTGGTTTGTGTAACACATACGACACTGAAACTTCCTGAAAAGTCCTTTAAGCATCATCCTAAGTGCTTGAGTGACAGAACCTTAACATTATTTGGTTGAGGATTCCTTAGATTAAAGATGATCCGGGTCAGACGTTAGGAGTTCGCCTCCAGAAATGCTTTGCAGCAGCGTACACACTGTTCATACACCTTCTCAAAGTCTTCGTCACTTCCCTAAGAGACAAAACAAAAAGGACAAAATAGGGAAATCAAAACATTTCAATCAAAAGTGGTAGATGTATCATTAGTGTTGTCACAAATATCATGTTTGGGGATTTAATGCTCGGAAAAAGCTCAGTGGCGATGACGGTTTTCCGATTATTTGCCAAACAGATTTGTTTTCTTTGTCATACTGAGGGGTCATCGTCACAAATTTGAAACTTTTTAAACTCAAACGACACCACAACTAAGTCTGCAGCTAATTATTATCTCCATTTCTTGTGTTTAATATAGTTATTGTTGAGACTAAAAAAATCTCAAAAATAAAAGGAAGTTTATCACAGAAATCAAAACCTTTGAAGAAACTCCTTGCATTTCCATCAGGAACCAGGGTCTATATAAAATTCCCTGGTAGGGGGGATAACACAAAAGTGCTGGAACCTTCAGGACGGGGTGATTGGTTGAGAATGTATATAAAACTATGTATAGAGTTTTTGTATACTTTTCACTTGCTTTGACCAACCAGCAGTCTAGGAATCAATGATTCTCAGTTTGTAATATATGACAACAAATGTAGTAAACATTTATATTTAAAACACTGTGGTCAGGGATTTCTTTTGCTTTTCTGCTTGAAAATGAATCCAATGATGAATCGATTATCAGAAGTTGAGTAATATTCTGTTATTTGCATTTTTCTTTTTCATGGGAATCCATTCAAAACTTATTGAGATGTTTCACTCACACTACGTTGGCCGTACACTTTTCTGTCATGCCAAGTGGTTGCTGGCGAGAGACCACAAACCAATAATCTTCCAAGTGTCCGAACCACACTGACCGTTGGCAGACAGAGCGACACAGAGACATGCTTTTCAAATATAAGACAAATTAATACAACTGACTACAGTCACATATTGTGGTCAACCACGACCGATCTCCAAACCACATCACTAATCTGACCGTTTCATCTTTGGATTCTGGTTCCACAACAGAGCCACAAAGAACAGTATTACAAACAGAGCTTGAGCCACACATTCTCCTTCAGGACCACACAGGAAATTAAATTTTCAAGCATCATTACCATTTATTTATATAAACTACTAAAATAAAAAAAAGTTTGCATGTCCCTAGGAAGTTATAATAATTTTTCAAATGAAGTGTGAATTGACAACTTATAACAAATGAAAACATTCAAATCTTCCAACATTTACTCTTTCCATGTTTCCCCACTGTTGCCTCTTCTCAGACATAAACTTCAGGATGATATGACGCAGCCACGTCCAAATCATTGGCACAACTTTCACAGCAGAGAAAGCACACAAGGACCAAAAAAGCATGTTTGAGCCATGAAGTTTCAAAAGGCAAACCGAGCTGAAACCAAAAAACACTTGGTAAAATCATGTCCACACAAATAAAATAATAGTTAAGTGATTTATTGTAGTGTTTAGTGGGCTCGGAGGGCTGCAGAACACATTTTTCATGGTTGAAATTTCGGCATTCATTCTGGATCGACTGAGCAAGGAACCACCTGCTGCCATTTTTACTGCTGCAGTCCACTCTGTTTTGTTGTGGTGTGCTCCCTGTATGTGTCTCCATGCAGCGACCACATGCATTTTACAAGTGATTTATGTTTTCTCCCACATCCTTTGGTTGATTTGTTGGTTAGTTTGTGTATTTGTCAGCGGGATTATGCAAAAGATACAGAAAAGATTTCCAAGAAAGAAAGAACTTTTGCCGTGGTTGCAGTCAAAGGGGGGAGATTCAGTTTCCTTTCCCCACTTTAACATTTAATGCATTTTTTGACATCTGTGAATATTTCAAGAAATCAGGCATGTTTAGGGGACTGATATCTATGATGTAGAGCAGCTTGATTGAATTTAAGGGGACTGTTGGGATAGGAGGTATGTAAGGGTAGAGGTGAGTACCATCCTATATTATTTTTCCGGTGCTCTGCTCAAATTATTGAGGTGGGCAGCACTCAAACAAAATGGCAAATACCTCCATGCTCCAATAAGAATTAAAACAACACATAAATGAAAATGTGATGACACTTGAGGGGTTGTTTTCTTTTGCTGCCAGCTCACCATCAATCAAATCATCGGATCAAACCACATTCTTTAAATCCTGAAGAAATAGAATAGCAACATTTAGGAGTGTTTCACTTTGACTTTAAACTCTTTGTTCCTCGTCAACTTAAATAAAAATACTTCTTGATAAAGGTCAAACTAAAGGTTTGTTGTGCAGTCAAGAATATTTAATATTTTTAAATTAATGAATACGATTTCACACCATTTTATTTTAACATAGGTTGGTTAATTATCTTATTGTCTTAAACTTATTGTCAACAAATCTTCCAAAAAACTCTAAAACCAACATGATCATGGGTTCATACTGAAAACACCACTTTTTTTTTTTTTTTTAAATAGAAAAGAAACAAATTTTCTTAAAATACAGTCTCCTTCCTGACTCTTTAGAAGTTGTGCATTTTGGGGGGAAATTTACAGCCACAGACATTTATCACATTCAGGGAACATGTCAGTTTTTACTGCAGCAGGACAGTGATTGAGGGACTGACAGTTGTTCATGGTAATAAAAGTACATGTCAGCGTACTCTGAGACTAACTGCTCCATATCAGCACTGTAATAAACACTCAGGACATTAAAAGTATTCTCCTGTATGGAGGAAAAAAAGGAGCCTGAAACTGAGTCTCCAAGTTTTGAATACTTACATAATATGGGTCATTGATGATCAGCTGATTCTGAGGATCATATGAACCAAGAAGCTCAATCTTTGCACTGTAGTTTTTCACAGACTTTGCTTTCCTTTTCAATTCACTGTGAAGACAAGAGAAAGCATGTTAACTTCACGAGAGAAGGGAGCAAGGAAAACACGCAGGGATCTAACATGTGATGTCAGGACTGGGGAAGAAATACAAATCAAAAGACTTTAAATGATAGACAGAATATTTAAAATCCACAATATCTATGTTATGTAGGATGGACTTCCTCCCACAGCAGCAAAACACCATAATATTCACTCACTCAGAGTCACTCAAAACAACAGTTCTGGCAAAGTAAACTAAACATGGACTGATTAGCCTCTTGTCTCGTACAAGGTCTCATTTTCTCAGTCTGGTCAGCTTAGCATTTGTGTGTGGGGGGGGGGGATATGTGGGAGAGAAAGGGGAAAAAACTGCAGAAAGAGCAAAGACGAGGCATCCAAGGAACTCAGTAAGCTGCTTACAGATCAGATCTGCCATAGGCATGTGATCTCAAAATTATCCCTAAACGTTCAAAGTAGCAAAAAATATCCCTCCCCCTTGACCTTTGGAAAGAGCTTAAGAAAGGATATTGCTCATTAAAAGGAGGCATTCAGCTACAAGTTAGCTGTAGTTCAATGTTACCAGCATTTTCACGAGTGTGTGAAGGAGTAGCACACACACATCACTGTCAACAGTGTTAGCGGGACAACCTGCCCTGACCTCTCCGTGATAAATGTGTTTTTTAACCCAAGGGAACCAGTTAGCTAAAGACAGGACACTTAACACATGACACCAGCGTTTTCACTTGTGAAGCAGGCTGAATTATTGTACCTCAGGTTGCTCTCGTCCATGCAGAGAATGTACTCAAAGCTCATGAAATCTTCCTTGGTCACCTGGAAGTGGGGAGGACAAAACAAATATAAATTTTGCAGCACAGCCTGGGGAGCTCCTCTCCAGTAATTCAGACAGGGTTCAGTCCTATGCAGTGAAAACCAGTCACTCCCACAGGAAGACCAGCAGGTACAAAAGTATTTTACACTTTTGTTAGACCTCTGGGAAACACGCAATAGAGTTTGGATAGTAAATATAATTTATGTCTGTTTACAAAAATATTCCACAAGGTAGCTTCAAAGTTGCTGCTAATGCATACTGAAGATTTCACGCAGCTGCTTCGCATTGAAGCTTTCAACTGGCAAAACATGGGGTGGCACGAAACAGTCACAGGAAGTGCAATGTGTTTGCCATTTCTTCTTCAGTGTATCATTTTCAATCTTGCAAGGGAGTAATAAAACAAGGAGAAGCAGCCACAGTGAGCTGCAGAACATGCAGAGTTGTTCCTTCTCAGCAAGGTAGCAAACTTAAACTTTGCTCTGCTGTTGTGAGGAAAAACTATTCGAGCTGTGCACAGCATGAAATCAGATCGTGGTTGCAATAATTGCCATCTGAACTACTTCATCAAAAAGCGTGTTGGGCTGTGTAGTGAACAGATACACCAGTGATTGCTTTGTTTTTGTTTTCTGGAAGAATAAAAGGAAGAACACATTTGCCGTTACCGTAGTAACCACGGGTGTGGCCAAGTCAACCAGGGCTGAAATCTCAAAGATAACAGCTTTGATACGATTCTGGATTCGCCAGCAAACTGCTAATGAAAGGGATCTAAGCTGCACATCTGTAAACATGTGGAGGGGAGTTGTGCAAAGTGTCCACTGTGCTCCGTGATGATTTAATGGAACAAGCAGCAATTGAAAATAAATGAGTAATAACAACACACAGTACCCGGAACTGTTTTAAAGGGGTTTTGGGAGTCAATTTATAGGAATGCTTCAAACAGGATGAGGGCAACAAGGACAACTGAGAGAAGACGGGAACAAAAGAACAGGACATGAATAGAACTCCTGCAATATTCCAGATGTTGAGTTATAGACGTATTCAATCACAAACGATTGAAGTTTAGTCTGTGAAGTCGTACAAAGTCCACAACGTCTGACTGAAGCCACTCGAGTCTGATCATTGTATTTTCCATTTGAACACTCTCACACCCTTTCTCTCACACACAGTGGTAATCTCTGGCACGTATAATTACAGACGGTGCTAATCTCTCGGCTCCTGTCTACATCACGCTCTCACAAGAACTGTATGAGGCCATTAAAGAAGCCTGATGCGATCCTCCAACCGGACCTCCCCTCACAAGGCTGACGACATCATTATTAGCTGATATTTCCTTATCAACATCGGCCACCAAAAATCCATATCTATTGGGCTCTGCATTTAACATTACATTGTTTATAATAATATAATGTAGTATCATCATCATTTTCTTATACTATCATTCATTATCTGTTCCTCCACCAGCCAAGATTTCAATTGTAACTTACAACACATACATTATTAAATACTTATTTTACACCGACATCGCTGTGGAAAAAGGACCTCATTTTTACAGATTAAAAGACGCTTTCGAAGTCGGTACATTTTTACTTCTTACATCCAAACCACAATGATGACAGGTGAAATTAATGTGGTTACAACAGTATAATTATATTTTGGCTAAAGGTGACGTTCATTCCTCAAATGTTGATTCAACAATAACATGTTGAAGTATGAAATACAATTTTCAACTCTCTTAAATCTAATGGTTAGAAATGAAAAGGGTGATAAAGGGAAGAGGGAAAAGAGAAAAGGCTTGTCAAAGCTCATTGTGTGGATTTGGCTGGGTTTAAGCCAAGGGTTGAGCCTCTCCCCTTCTTTGAGGAGATTAGATGAGATCTCAAGCATAGGGCGAAACCTCCAAGTTCTCTCAGGGAAACATAAAAAGAGCATTTTAAGTGCACAGGGGAGTAGAGTTGCACTGAGGATAAACCAGTGCTCCATAAGGGCTGAAGGCCCTACATGGACAAACATCTTGGTGTAATTTCAGGCCTGTTTCACGATTTAAAACACATGCTGCAATGTGATACAGTGATTGATCGGCTTCATCAGTTATTCATACACACCACAGGTGCCATCATTTTGCACAGCAGTATGGAAACAAGCCTGACCAAGAGGCTCTTCATCATTTTCACAGACAGACACATGAACCCTAACACTAGATACAATTGGGTGACATCACATCTCAAGCTGGTGTGCAGACATGAAGACCAGGTTAACATGGCCCAAACCTGGAATGTAGTATGGAAAAACATCACAGTCCCACCAATATTCAGACTTTTTTGGTCTAGGCAATTGAAGTTGCACATAAGCACCAACTACTATACCTAAACAAACATTTAATAATGAAGGTTTGCCTTGCTTATTACCCTGCAGAACAGCAGGCTAATGTTTTTAATAGAGCTTGACCAATGTGGATTTTTTGATGCAGATGACAATACCAAAATATCGACCGA